TGCTGAATGCTTCTCTCCCTCTAATACTTGTCTCCCATCTTACTTTTTATCCTCGGTGTGGAATCAAGTTTATTTTTGGAAGCTTATTTTACAGTTCAGTGTGGTTTTAGCAATACTATTTCTAGCTACAATTTAGAGATGATATTTTCTTTCATTCTGATTAATGTTAAATAAATATGCAAATACATCAAGTACTCTATATAAAAATACATACACACAACAAACAACCTCTCAAATAATAAACCCAAGATTAATAAAAACATGTACTATATTACACATGAAATGGCCATCTAGTTTTGAAATTATAATGAAACTTAATTACACATGAATCACGTATAATCTAAAAAATAATTGGCATATATAAAATAATGGTATTGCCTATGTAAAGAGAACTTGAGCATCTCCCTGTTTAAAATATATAAAAATAAGCCAACCACTGTTGTCCGTGCATTTATAGCTACTGATATTAGATAAATTAGGGAGGAGTTTGTGGATTTCTCTGTTTAACTTCTGAATAGGGAGATGAATAGCATGCCACGACCTTTTTATGGTTTTTTTCTCTTTTTTTTTTTAAATTAGCCACAAGACAATGAAGTACCTCCTTTAGACTGAAGTGTATTCAATTAGGATTTAAAGAGAGGAATAATTCTTACCGTGGATCTCCATACTTAGTGAAATGAATACACAAAACCAGCTTAAACACAGCCTTCAACAGATCATTTTGATTTAGAATGACAAATAGAAAAGCTTGCTTAAAAACATTAGAGGAATTTAAAATAAAAATAAATGCACGGACTCAACAGACTTGTTGACTGAGGACTCAGACTAAATTGCCCCTGAGGAGATCTGCCTGCAGATACCAGGGCATTGAGCAACGTGATGAACCACATGGGAAACTGCTGGAGGGCTGTGACAGAAATATAATCCAGAGTCTTGTGCTTTCTGTCCCAGTGAAGATCAGCCTCTCTCATGTTAGTATGTAGCTGGTGGAATACTCATCCCCTGAACTGCTTCAGATGGAGAATATAAAGCCACGTGCTTTAGCAGAAGAGTTTCAGAGACAGGTGCTATGGTCAGTGGACAGGAACACTGCAATAACCCTGCAATGGGACATTCCTCAGCCCACAGGTGACAGACCGCTGGTTGCAGTGACCTTAGATACTGTTTTTACTTAGCCCAGTAAGAACTTATCATCCAATATGCTTCCTTAAAAATGGCACAGACCACTGGTAGTAAATAGTTTTCTTTCTGACAATTCGTATCAATATAATGCACAGCATCATAGCTTAATACAAATACTTTACACAACAGACACATAAGGACAACACAAAAGCATATAACAGTGCAGCTGCAGCTGGTTTCCTACATTATATGGCTGGGAGAGTTTCTTCTAGTTTTCTTTGATATTTTCTGTAGAGTTCGAACTCCTGGTACCGATAAGCAAGCAATGTTTCTTTGGGTATTTTCAAAAAGCAGATGGAAAAATGTGGATGAAACAGGATTCAGAGGAAGTGAGCGAGTCACAGAAAGGCAACTTTTAAAATCTCAGCAAACTGCCATAACATAACAGTTATTGGGAAAACAAGTTTTACTAGGATCAGGATCTCCTAAGTAAGATGGAGGAGAAGATGAGGAGGAGAGACCTATGATTCAGGAATAAAATACTGTCATCTTCCTTAATTATCTCCAATTGCTTGATTTGTGAGTGTGTGATAGAGCTGGCGTCATTCTGTTTTATTTATTATCCTAACTAACAGACTCATTAGAAACATGCACAAATGGTGATCAATGAATGAGGGAGGGGGAAGAGCAAGGAACACCTCAAAAACTCAAGGATAACTATACAGAATTTTAGGATAATAAAGTACAGAAGTTTATTATGTATCAGCTCAGGTTTTCATCTCCTTATTCCCCCCTTCCCCCGTCCCCATCCCCCCCTCTAAAAATAGAGATAGATAAATAAATTTTGTCCTTCCGGGTTTCCCCCATTGTAGACCAAGCCATAAATCATGACAAAATGTTGCTCTCTGTTTCTACTGGCAACCTCTGAATGCACGTACTACTCCTCCTTGGCTGGAAGGCATTTCTGCAGGATTCTGATGTATTAGACATTGTATAGGAGACCTTTTTGCTTTAAACTTGATTTTTGCCCTTGACATTTGTTCCTTACTTACTTTGGTACAATGGCAAGTTTAGTACCTTAAGTGGCAGTCAAATGGAGTGACTGGATACTTCTGAATCTCCGTACAGCGAAAACCCTCCATCTGGGGAACAAAGACGTAAACTTGCATCTCTCCTAACACCCTGGACACAGTAAGTGTCCTCTGTGTAGGAACTAGGCACTGAAAACTTTATGCAAAGCAACCCTTGGGGGCTTATTTCAGACAGCAAATGCCAATTTTGTAACTCAGAAATCATTTTAAAGTGATTAAAAATGAGTAAAACTTATGTTTAATTATGTTCAAAAGACATCAGTAGCACAGTGCATTTGTGAATGACTTTCCAAGTTCCATGTGATTTTGCTTCCCCCAGCTCTGCTGTACTTAGTAACCAGGTACCATTACACTCCACTCTTCATGTCAAGCTCCTGATGGTTCTGTGTTTCATTAACGGTCAGGAATTCATCACATGCTCCTGTTCGGTCATTTGACTGTTCTTTATGAACCAAATGCACCATTTCTTGTGATTTGCTGGCATCTCCATTTAATCCACTTGTCTTCCTGTCCTCCACTGCCCCTTTGCCATTGTTAATCACTAGCTTTTTCTTCTGCCCACATCTAGAAAGCAATAAGAAGAAAATAAGTACTATAAATAGAGAGCAACAGAAATAAGAAAAAAATTTAAAGTCAATATTTAGGAAAAGGTGCCTGGAAACGAAACTTGTGTCTGACAGTGCAGACTTACACAATGCGCAGGGTGAAGTTCCTTGATGTTGGATATTTTATTTTTGAAATCATCCACCGTTATATGCCTTAAATTTGGCAGATCCTCACTTATTTAATTTGTATCTATTGCTACTATGGATAGGAATAACATTCATTACTGAAAGCTAGAAAATATTTTCTAACATTTGGATATATCCACATTTATGAACTTTGTATATATCCTACTATAAGGACAGGGTCATTCTAAATCCAGACTTGGGACCATGCTTTTGAAACTTGCTCATAGCAGAAAACTTGGACCAATCTCTCACCTCATTATATAACCTTTTCCCTTCTTTGTATTAGCATGTCAGGCCTAGAAGCCTTAGTATCCTTATAATATTACGGTAGGAAGTAGCTACTGTTCTTCTGAAGTTACACTCACTGCAGCGTTGTCCAATAAACTCCCTATGTAGCTCTGAATGAACACACACACACACACACACACACACACGATCTTTTAAAAAATCACCAGTCCAAAACTGGTGCCTACTGGTCAATGTGAGTTGGTTATTCTTCAGGGTAGTAAAAAAGTACTAGTTACACAGCTGTCAGATTTGCCCCAGGCTGTTACGATGGTTCTCTGGCTGCACAGTGCTGAACATCCTATCTGTCCTCGAACAGCCTTCTGGAAACTGAAGGTACAAAGCACAGCTCTCTTAACAGGGACAATGTCTCTGTGAAGCTGTACTTTAAAGTTCTTTCTTCTCAACTGACACATAATTTGCCTGAATGACTAATTTGGCAGTTCAAGTACACTATTATCCTTCTGAAATATTACTTTTTTTCATGCTTACTGACTGACAGATGAGGGTTTTTTTTTTATCTGAAGTAGCTCAGTTCACTGTGCTAATGCTACACACACACCCTTGGGAATGATTCCTGCTCTGCAGCCATGAAATGCTGGAAGAGGCCAGTGAGGAGCTGTGGAGGTTCACAGCCTCTCAGAAGAGTGTTTGAGTGTCTTTCCTGGTGCAGTGGTCGGCATCTTCTGTTGGGCCCTGGAAGGAGACCCTAACACTTTTTACAACAGGCACCAGATAGAGGTAATCTTCTTTGCCACAAAAGGAATAACTAAAGAACTAGAACCACGCTGAACATTAGCCATTTGGGGTTTTGGTTAAGATAACATGACACACAAAATAAACAAAAAAAAAAAAAAGGAAAAGTGGGATTTTTAACTTATTCATGTTACAATTTGGATCCTGCTAAACTGAAAGAAAGTTTCAAGCATACCAGAGTACCTCCCTCCTTCAAAAAGTGTTCCTCACAGTGATTAGAGCATATTACGAGGGTCTAATCCGTGCCTTTGCACACCTGCCCACACCTACACACACTTTCTCTCTTTGCTACTCACACCCAGCTGCATGGAAGCTCTAAGTCAAAGATATGTTTTCCATTAATGGTATCTAGGGCATGATTTACAGGTCTGAGATGGTTTCGTTTCTTGTCAGATGCAACTGATGATTAGCCATAGTGGCCCTGTTTGTTCCTATGCTGGCTCTGGATTAAGAAGGAGGAAACAGTGTCAGCCTCTCCTTGTAAAGGTGTAACAGGATAAATCAGTAAGCCATGCCGCTCAGGCTGTGTCACTCCAGAATCACTTCACAGAAAGAAAGTTACAGTCTTCTGTCTCACCATATGCTTGATAGCTTTCTTATTTAGCAGGTCTCTAATGAAACTGCCATAGAAACACTGATATTGTGGATGGTTTCAGAGCAAACAGGATACCAGGTGCCATCTCTCTGCTGGCTTCAGCAAATCTCTATCAGATTACTCTGTTTTACAATTTGGCAGTTAGTTTGCACTGGTTTGTCCCACAGGAGCCTTCCACATTATGGGCAGGGACTGCTGGGCTGCTCCTTCCCCACAGTGGCAGTGCTTTATTCTAGCCCCCATGCCATGCTTTGGCGGACCTATTTCACTGTTACACAGAAGCATTAATGCATATGCTTTCCTGCAACCAGCAGACTGGGAATAAATTTGCTCACTGCTTCCTGAACAAAAATCTCCACATATTATATGGTTACTCTGATAAAAAAAGCTCCAATTCAGTGTTCAAGTAGAAAACAGTTTCTCTGTTAAAGGGTTCAAGTTTAACATTCAAGAAGCAAAAAGCTGTTTAAGACAACTGAGAAGCGACCTCAGAACAGCTCCCAGAGAAAAGCAGGAGTTACGAATGTGGATGATGTTAACCAAGATGGTCTCAAGCTGCGCCAGGGGAGGTTTAGATTGGACATAAGGAAGAAATTCTTCACCGAAAGGGTTATCACGCACTGGAACAGGCTGCCCAGGGAGGTGATGGAGTCACCATCCCTGGATGTGTTTCAGAGACGGGTGGATGAGGGGCTGAGAGATATGGTTTAGTGGCGGACAGATACGGTTGGACTGGATGATCTCTAAGGTCTTTTCCAACCTAGTGATTCTATGATTCTATGATTCTAAGAGAAACTCTTTCCTGTGTTATGCTATTCTGCTCTTACATGAAGCTTTGAAGACTCTTGATGAAGAAAATAGCCAGGCAGTGTGTTTTGAAAAAGTAAAGGGGCTACCTTACCTTCTCCGACTGTTGACAGCAATGCACACTGCAAGAATCAATGCAAGTGCCACAAGCGCGGCAACTACGATCAGCCATTCTGTGGGAAGAGTCGGGGGAGGGGAGAGCACGTTAGCACATCGTATGGAGTTTTGCCATTTTGCAGAACTGCAAGAACACAAGCTCTTTTCCATTCTTTACACTGTTAAGACTTATGTTTTCCTAGCTCACATGAATGTTTGTTTTACAAAGGGCTTCTGTGCGAATCAAACCCATTTCCTTCATTATATACACACACAGGCCAACTCAGATGAAATACCCCGTCACTGTTAGCACCTGTAGGCACTGTACTTTGGTGGGCATAGGTGGAAAGGAGTCGTATCACTGACTTACTCAAAGCAAAAATAAAGGCTTAGCAACGACACGCAATCCCAATCGCAAAAGCAGGATGACTTTCCGGTAGAGTGAAATGTTATTTTTTTCATTTAAAATCTTAGTCTAAGGGGTATTTTGGGGATAAAAAAAAAAAAAGCAATTACAAAACTGGAATGAACTCTAAAAGATCATATCAGCTACATTTCACTCCAGTGAAACAGGGTCATTAAGAAGTGGCTGAGGAATATTCCATTTGCTTTAACATTTTTAGTGAAGGCCATTTCACAGCCTTCGCAGAAGCCTATTCTTTATGCTGTGCTACCATTGTAGACAGAGACCCTCTCCTATGATCTAACTCCTTTGCTTGTTTGAAACAAGTCTCCTATGTTTCGTTTGAAACAAATTACTTCTATTTATTAGTTTATTATTACTCCGTGATGAAAAAATGATAAGCATTATTTTGTAGCATAGTTTTCTCATATCTCCCTTCATTTTTCTCTGAAAATCCTGAGTTTTTCAAAAGGTGCTTCAAAGGTTACCTTTCCAAAATTTTCTTTGGGCTCTTCTCTGTTATTTTTATTCTTTGTGGTTAATGTAATGCCTTGGACTGAACACAGAGCTTCAGCTCTGGACTTGCTAGGCCTAAGTAGAGTGGGATAATTACTTTCTCCATTTTAAAAATGACTTTACTGTTAATATGTCTCAGAATATATTTGCATTCTTTGGCGGTTATGTCATGGTGTTGGCTTCCTTCTATTCCATTTTAATCTGCAAACCCTATTCTGCAACACTTGTCTCAGCTATTATTTTCACTGAACATTCTCATGGATGTGATACTCTGCCTATGTCTTTACTGAATTTTGCTTGATTTCATATCCATTTAAAAAGGTTATTTGGATCTTAATCTCATTTTCCAAATACATAATTTCTTTCATCTTGATATTGCTGAAAATTATATTAGTTACAATATGGACCATTTTTCTGACTACTAGTGAAAATGCTGAATAGTATCTGACTCAGAACAAAGCTGGAACAACTGGATTTGACCTACCTTTTCATATTGTTTTTAGTTCATATTAATACAATTTTGTGTTTAATTTGTTAAAACATATGACTTCAGAAACCTACCTGGTACCTGGGCTGACCTTTGTTGTGAAACTATTTCTGTTGTGGTCTCTGCAGGGAAAGTAGTGGATTCATAATGTCCCTGGTGTGGTACTTCATCACCATTTTTAATGGAGGTAGATCCTAAAGAAAAAAACTATCTGTTAGTCCAAATATGCTTAGTGAATTTAACAGTGAGGTACAAAACCCATGACTGTCACAACCATAAAAACATATTCTAGAAGGTTCATGCTGAGGTCATTAAAAAGTATTTACACTGAAAACTATTGCACAGACTGTAATGATCATATTCATCTGAACTATGGCTAGTTTTAGTTTTTTGAATAACAAAAATCATGGTTTTCCCCTCTTGCATCTCTCATATGTTTCAGTTTTGACTATGCTGTACTTTTGTGAACCAAGTGCAATTATAATTGCCTAGATGTTTTCTGGAGAAAAGGTAGGCACATGTGAATGTTGGCAACTTTTTGAAGAGGTTTTTGTCATGCAAGCCAAACGTCTTGTCTGTTCCATGGGGAAAAGAGAGTGAGAAAAGAAGAGAGAGAGGGGAAAAAACCCCATCCCAGTTACTTATTTTAAACCTAAAGTGACCAATGTGGAGAAATTCTGAAACCTTTAATTTTGTTCCTACACAGGACAAAGCAGAATTTCTAAAACTAATGCTTTCATAAAAGCAGGATAGTTCTCTGAACGTTTTTAAACTTGACAGCTATGTATGTATGAGTGGGACTTTAAAATATACAAATCTTTTTCCTGATAGAACAAAATGCTTTCTGTAAACTTACAGGGTGTCCTTTTCAGTAAGTTGTGTAATTTGATTCTAAGACAGTATTAGATTTTAAATCAACATGCGTACTTCCATTCACAAGTATTTGTTATGCTGGCCATACCACCTGAACTTTTATGCAATTACATTTCTGGTGCGCGCTGTTGCCATAAGCGTATCCCAAGTTTAAAATTACCAGCAGACTATACATATATTGATTTCATTTGGAACTACTACTTCACTATCACTACAATAAAAGATATTACAGGTCTCCACCTCTCTGAATTCTTTCAGACTCTAATAGAGCAAATTAAGCACTTTAATTGGCTGTAAAGTTCTTTAATACACATTGCGACCTGTTCCTAGACAACATTTCTGAGGTCATTTCCCAGTAGCAACTGGCAAATACAAAACTGAGAAGCACCTTTTTTTCACTCTGTTAAGCCTAGCCAGCAAGTAGTTCATTAATATTCCAGATGTTTTCATTATTTTTATTAACAAGAAACTTATTGACTGGTGACTTGTTCTGCGCTATCTCACCACAAAGGACAGACCACTGATTCAGGGACTAAGGGTCCTGATCCAGCCTCCAAGAAAGCTGACCAAGAGGAACATACTCATTTGTCTACACCACATCTCAGCAGATTATTTTTGAAGTGCTTTATATCATCCTTGAGAAATGACAGACCTTTTCCACCACAAAGCCCTACAGAAAGGCGCGCAGATGCTTATTAAAAATCATACACCTCCAGAACGGCTGCGTTCGCCCTTCCCCTCCCCTGGGCACGGAGAAGCAGCAGCAGGATTCAGTCATATCCCCTGCTGTTCTGGCTCTGGGGAGGCCTTTGCAAGTGGCAGGGAGGGACCCTTAAAGGCTCGCTACATTTCATTTTGATGACACACTTGATTTTTTTCTTTCTGACAGTTATTTTTTGGGTTCCTTCAGTGGACTGATTTGTTACTCCATGGACACTTGGACAACAGACCAGTCATTAGTGTGATGTCAGACCATTAAACATTGCTGTAGAGAAAAAGCAAGTCAAAGGAAGTAACGTAGTACATCAAGCCATTAATTTGTTCCCAGAAAGCTCTAACTATAGTTTGTCAATACATTAATGAATATTTTCCATTCTATTACAGCTGTATGGGGCAATGTTACATAGGAATGAAACCTTCAGTAAACAGTTTGGGGTTTTTTTTGTGATGATGGTAATGTTCTAGTAATTCCCTTGTATTGTGTTTTTTAAAAATCACCAAGAAAATAAATGAAAAAAAGGAAGTATTTTGGGAATATGGCCTTATGAGCCTTTGCCAGGGCACTGACAATGCAAAGATTCGATGCAGACATTCACCTTGAAAATTATCTTCAAACCAGTTCTTACAGGTTTTATGTGTTCAAAACAGAGAGGTAGCAAACATTTTTCATATGGTGTAATGTCTGCACATAGAATTAAGCAGGCAGCTTGGATTAATTAAATGACTAGGGCAGCAGAACTCAAAAAATGAGTTTGTTGTAGTAGGAAATCATTAGTAAAAGTAGATTTATCTTTCTAATAAAATTGTATTAGATACATATTTTGCATTTCTATTGCTGTGTCTATTTCAAAATAGTATAACTCAGGTAATTTTGATAGAGTTGAAAATTCTGAAAGAAAAAAAAAAGTAGGCCACATTCTACCTGACAATGTATGAATTATCATTAATTCATTAATTCATAACAGAATTCTCTTTACAGTGTTTGTTGTGTAATGCTATAAAATTATAGGTATATTATCTTTCTTATGTGCAAAGAATGTTCACAGACCATTAGCCAAAATATACTGTGGGATAGTTGCACTAATTTCCAAGAAAGTGCATGAAAATATTATTTGGGTTAATGTGCGTGAGAAGTAACATTTGGAAAAAATCTTACTGTTCGGATTATTATCTGTATGGAAATTGCATTTGGCAATAAGGAAAAGTCCTTCATCTCCTGTACTATCAGGATGTGACGGCACACACACACAAAAGAGAGGCTATGTGCAGTGCAGTAAGTATTAACTCTGTCAGAAGAATAACCCATTAAAAAATAAAGTTTTTCACAACAGTTACAGCCCAGTAACATAGCTAAAATTAACCATTGGCAAGATACCCACAGCAAATATATGTTGGAAAAAAGGGTTTACCTTTCTTTTGATACATATTCAACTACTGTACAGGGAGTGCAGACAAAGAAAAAGCATCAGACAAGTGTTGCATAGCTACCATTTGTGCCCAGCAAAATAAAGACAAAATGCTATATGCATGTATGGGCATGAGGGGAAAGTTTGTACCTTTTCACTTTAATAGTTGTGTTGCCACACACAGATGACAGAATATAAGAAGAGGTTATTTGCAAAAAAAATATTTTCAGCCTTTTAGCAAATGTCCTCTGCTTTGCACAGGAAGAGATTCCCTTTAATGACATGAGAACATTATAAACAATTAAAAAAACCCCAAACACAACAAGAAAAAGGAAATCATAATACGACAATAATTTACAATTATGGTTAGTACACGTTTTTGCACAATCACCATTGTCAATAAATGACTGACGGATAAAAGAGAAAGCTTCTAATCTGTAGTTCTTACTAGTAGGAAGAGGGGTCTGCAATTGGTTAAGGTGATCTTCAATGTCTGGAAAAACTCCAGGTATCCAACTGACATGGGAACCATCTGTGGTGTTGGCTTGTTCGCTTTCACTTCCAGGTGAGGTGCCAGGCACCAGTGGCTCCTTGGTTGCTTTCCCTCGGTTAACATCATCCACGAACTCCGTGACTGCCATGATGATGGCATGATCAGCGTGAGAAGTGAGCGCTCACAAAACCACCACCCTCATTATTTCCCTCTTCCCTGCACCACAGCAAGCCAGAGAGCATGTCCATATTCCTCACTGGAAGGACAAAGAGAGAAGGCATAGGAGAAGACGTGAAAGCCTCCCATTCTTCTTCCACACTGTCACTGGTTTCTGAGAGACCCATAAGCACCACATACATAGTCACCATGTTGGAGGGAGACATCGGCTACATGTGTAGATCCCAGTGACAGATGGAGATGGGAGACCTTCAGAAGAAGAGACCACAGCATCAACAACCTGACCCTGTAACTCAGGAGTGAGTGGCCATACTGCAGCCAGATATTGCCTGGCAAGCCACTGGTAAGGAGGAGTAAGGAACTGAAGGCAGAATTTATGGGATGCAATCCTTCCATGATTACCCTTCCCTCACCACCAAGACAGCAATCCCTGGTGACAGTACTGCTGCTGAGTCACAGGAGCAAGCCATCGGGTTAGCCCACCAGAGCTCCTCCACCACACCAATCACGGTGCTGAAGCCTATCAAGTTTGATCCCACTGATGCACAAGAAAGGAAGACGGGGCTGGGGCTTCTGAATCACAAAAGCACATCTTGCAGAACAGTCACAAGGCCACCCAGAAACATGCTTCAGCAAAGGACAGAAACCACCAAGTGTACCAGCAAGGAGTCCCTTATGCCTCGTCCAGAAGTTGATTCTATCAACAGCACAGATCCCACCACAGATTTTTGCACTGCAAGAACACACCAAGAATGCAGACCCCCAGGGTGAGAAAAATAGGGAAAGGACTTGATTTCAGAAGAAATAATGTCTCATTTCACACCAGGCATGAGAAATGAGTGTGATCCATTATTCTTACTGGTACCGTTCAGAGGAGAGTCATCACCAGCTGTGTTTGTACTGGCTGTGGTCCCATGGAGAACCTCATCACCAGGGCCATCCATGATATGGGTGACGGCTTCAGTGCCCTGTCCGGGTTCACTACCTGAAGGCAAGGTCGGCTGAGTTGGGTCTTCGTGGTGGGCACCGTCAGGAGTGGCAACAGCTGTTACCATGAGGATTTAATCAGCGGTGAATTCCATGGGTGTGCTGCCATGCTCCCACCCTCAACCCCTATTCCCACCACGTTCAAGCATCCTGTTTGCTTTAGGCCACTTCCACATCATCACAGCCCTTTCAATGTATTGACCAGGTATTTTCCTTTGCTATTCTCATGCACTTTTTTATTTAATCCAAAAGCTTCCCAAGGACAATGGACAAAGGGAAAGGACATAGATGCAGCAGTCAGGAGAATTCCCTGAGCCGCATCCCTGGCTGACCGCAGCTCCTCAGCTCCAGGGTCACTGCCAAGTGCAGTGTGTTTTATGTTGCAGATATCAGTACTGACACTAAGGAACCCTTTCTAGAGGCACAGATTCTTCTTTGTTGCTCAAGACTGACAGCGGTGACATTAGAGAAAATGGTTATAATTCGTTCTTCTGTTCATGGGAGTCGTAAGACTAGGTTTCCTTCCTGAAACAGCTTCAAATTTTGGCATTACTGAAGGATTTTACCTATTAGAATTTTACCTATTAGAATTACCTTGTGGTGTGGCATTTACTGACCCCACCATCCACACTGTTCTTCTCTTCCTTATATGCAGAGTAGACTTTATGTATTTTGTTCTAATTGGATCATGAAGAAGAAAATTAAACAGGCTTTTCTATTTCTTTGTCATCAGCTTTCCAGCTTCATCACCTAAACTGTCCTGCTTTTTCAGACGAGCTGGCTAATGCTGTATAATAGCAGGAGCAATGAGACGGAAGAGCTATCATCCAAGGAAAACACAGCAACCATAAAGGGAATTTAACTAGTCACAAAATCACACATAAGTTCTAAGCATTGTCTGTTTAAGAAAGGATTACCTTTCCTCTTATTTCACAAATAAGTCATGTGTTTCTAGTATCATCTTTTACAGCATTATTTTGGTGGTATAAATGCTGTCATACGAGACTGCATCATGATGTTGTGTCATGCCAGTTTTATAAATTCCTTTCTCTCATCATTCTACAAACCAGAGGGACAAATGTTTTGATAAAATCTATGAAAAGAACACTATTTCCCCAGATGAATATTCACCAACTGAAAGCATTAACCTGTTGATGTACAAATATATCCAAGTATGAATTCAATTTTATAGTAAAGACAGTTTGGCAGCACCAAATAATAAAGCTTATGTAATGAGATAGACCCAGTTCCACAGTCATGCTTTACTAAGGAGCAGAAAGTACTGAGACTGGTGTTGGTAAGTAAACTATAAATGTTTCATACAGAGCTAAAATTGACAACTTCTATCTTACCACCATCCAGGCAGAACACAGTGAAAATTAATCACTATATAATTTATGCCATTGTCTTAAAGAGATCAGTAAGTTAGTTGTCTCTGCAAGTTCATGAACTATCTTTCCAAGACAGGCCACCTGAGAGACAGAAGTGATGAAATATACATAACTGACGTTATTACTGGTACCTGCAGCAGAAGACTCTCTCATGATTATTCCCTCTAGAAACAATTATTCTATCTAAGCAGGTTGTGTGGCATAGTGCTTTCCCTTGTCCCAGCATAATTACAGCAATGCGTCTTGCCCTGAGTTGTTCTGTTTGGCCCCATGGTTGGAGGCCAGAGCTGTTGGGGTGATGGTGAAACCATTATGAACTCAGTATACAAAGATCCGTTTCTCATATTATTCTCCTCTTCCATTCTTGTCTCTATTACAGGCCTTGCTCACAAGTTTACTACATTTAATGGAAAAGAGAAGTAAAGCAGATTTGCTTCTTATTCTCATTTATGTGTAGCAAAGCTGCCTATTGTCACCAATAGGACTGACTCCTTACTCAAAGGGACCATACACATTTCAGATTCAAGACCTCTCTTTCAAAAGTATTTCTCTGAATCATCCTGTTACCTTTTGTATTGGTTGTATATCAAACCAATGTACTCCAATGCAGAATTAAGAACAGCAAAGATAGAAATAACTGCAAGAATATGACCCATTACTAAGATTTTAATCCCAGAATTCGAGTGTATTGAATATATCAATTTTTTTCCCCTCAAAATTTTACTGTTTTATTAGTTGCAGCATTGTCAGGAAAATAGACAGAGGGAAGGCTAGCACATGCTGCAGATTTGTGAAGGGTGCACACCCTAAATAAAACAGCATTCAACTGGAGAATATTTGATATTACAGTTTATAAAAAATATTAGATTGTATATCTCAACCAATCTGTGATTTTTATTAGACAGTCACAGAAGGAGCACCCAAACTTTTTAAGTAGCACAACCCTCCTTAACAGCCCCAACCCAATCAAAAAAACACCAAGAAAATTACCACAGTGTGTTACAATTTCTACCACACCTAGGCCAAATTATATGGCTATATAGTATAGTATGGTCTGTACTCATCAGTAATACATTGTACTGCATAACCAGATTTTAAAGGATGTTGGTGAAACACCTGGGGTTGATATCTTAGAGGAATGTGGGCTTAGGGACTGCTGAAGCAGTGAGCTACACAAAACCTTTGCTAATGAGATTACATTTAGTTGAAGGAATAGATGCACATTATACAGCATGTCAAATAATGTTTATGATATGCTTGTCTTCAGTGGCCTATATCTGATAAACTGCAAGAGCAGATGATGACCGTGTTAAATTCCCTGTTGGCATTGCTTAGCACAGCTTATCAGTCATGGACTAGTAAACTTAGTACAGTCACAGGAACAGAAGCTCATATACATCAATTGGCAGTTGCTACCTTTATAGTATAATTTATCTTTTATGTTTCAATTGCTTTGACCCATGGAAGAGAGAATCCTCTCTTATTCTGCACTATGCTTTGTTTTCTTCTTTCCTTTACCAGTATCACCTTGCCATAGTTCAAAAGTGATGTGAATGATGAATTTTTTAGCCAAAAATTTTTAGGTATCATTGCCATATTAACAAAAACTGAAAAAAACTTGTGTATCAGGAGGAGCATTGCAGGTCAAGGGAGGTGATTCTCTCCCTCTACTCTGCTCTCGTGAGACCCCACCTACAATACTGCATCCAGCTCTGGAGCCCCCAACATAAGAAGGATATTGACTGGTTGTAGGGAGTCCAGAGGAGGCCACGAAGATGCTCAGAGGGCTGAGGCACCTCTGCTATGGGGACAGGCTGAGAGAGTTGGGCTTGTTCAGCCTGGAGAAGAGGGCTCCGGAGAGCCCTTATGGCCCCTTCCAGTGCCTGAAGGGGCTACAAGGAAGCCGGAGTGGAGGGGGGTGGTAGGCGTAGGGGGGTGGGGTGCCACTTTTTACAAGGGTCTGAAGTGATAGGACAAGGGGTAATGGGTTTAAATTGAAAGTGGGGAGGTTTAGAGATTGGATATCATGCAGAAGTTCTTCACTGAGAGGGTGTGAGGCACAGGAACAGGTTGCCCAGAGAAGCTGTGGATGCCTCATCCCTGGAAGTGTTCAAGGCCAGGCTGGATGAGGCTTTGAGCAACCTGGTCTAGTGGAAGGTGTCCCTGCCCATGGCAGGAGGGTTGGAACTAGGTGGTCTCTAAGGTCCCTTCCAACCCAAACCCTTCTATGATTCTATGAATGCATGACACAGAACACAAAATGTAGGAGAGTTACAGAATCTACTACAGGTCTTGAGACACAATCCAAATAGGAGTGAAAAACAAACCACCAGGAAGAGGTCTGGAGAACAGAATAACTAAAAAAAAAATAACATCAGAATTGCTCAGGTTTATTCACAGAACCTCTGTTATGGACTCAGACTGCAAAATTGTTAGTAAAATAGCCTAAACCGAAACCTTTAGTAAACCCTGATAATTTACTAAAATGTGACCTGTAATATTTATTACCTGTATGAGAAGATTCCATTTCAATATCATTTTCACCTGCAACAGTGAATTCATGTTGTTCAGTACTCCAAGTGGTATTCGCAGGATTTTGTTCGTGACTGGTCCATCCAGAAGGAACACTGTGTAATAGCGGATGTTGGGTTGGTCCTTGATGTTTTTCATTTTCACTTGTAACTAGTGCTGATAAGATGATGATTGAATCAATAATGATCAAAATACCCAACACCAGTCATATTATTCTCATCTTCATGATCTACACAACAACGGTGCTTGACTTTTGTGTTTTGGCTTTTTGTTTTCATTGTTGCATTTGATGTGAAATGAAATATGAAAGAAAACAAAAGTCCTTTGGGAACCCTATCACACAAAAGCATCAGCAGGATTGGAAGAAGATTTAATGGTGCTAGAAAATATACCAAGGACCAATGGCAGAGAAAAGCCATAGGAGAAGCAGTGAAGAACACATAGAAACAACAGCTTGCATCTCTCGTTCATATTTATTAATACTAACTCAACTGTTGAGCCTGTGTATTCTGGGTTTTTAAAAGTGAAAATGATGAACTTTCCATTTTGAGTTAATATCTCAGTTGCACAATTACAAGTCTGGCTCCAAGAAAATTGTATTTCTTCTGGAACAGGATGAATGAAATAAGTAGGTTTATATATTTAAAGCTGAAAAGCATACTTGTTTTCAACTCAGTAATCACTAAAGCTCTTACTGATAAAACAAATTCATTGCTCACTACTTAATTTGCTGTTGTTTACATAGCAGAAGATGAAGTCAGAAATCACCTGAAGTACCACCACCATTAGAGATTTTCTAATGAACATTAAGAGGCTTAGAAAAGATACACCAGATAAAACCCAAAACCTATAACACTAAGATGAGCATTAGAACTCAGTTTGAAATATATTTGCCTTAGGTATCAAATATTCCCATGAATGATCTATTAAAGGTAAAGCAAAGATCCTTAATCAGAGCATGCAAAGAATGAGCTGGACCTGTTACATATGCCGTAAGTCACCAGCTAGAAAAACCTGTTATTTCCCCAAAAAAAGCAACACTGGAGGAATATTTATCTTCACATTCAGGCAAGGAAATGTTCATAAAAAGGGCACTCATGAAAAAGTAATTAATTATTTTTGTAATTAAACCAAATACATAGAGATTATCTTGTAAAGAAACAGTTGAAATTGACTAATGTGTGAATACAACTGACCTAAAAATGCTTCAGAACTGAAAGAAAGTTTTCACAAAAATTATTTCTGCGTTATTATAGTACTTGTTCTGATGTCAACTGTATAAACTTCCACTGTTCAAAAAAATTTTGGAACCAGAAATACAGATATCTATCTATTGGAGGCAGATTAAAAAAAAAACAAAAACAAAAACAAACACAACCCTACCACAGGATGTAGAAAACCCCTGTTTTTACAGGTTATAAGAAGGCTTTCCACAAGTGAAATGTATTTCTTTGCAGTACAGTCTGATTTTATGCAATTACAAGGCTGGCCCCCAACCCAGCTGTATATAGCTGTGCCTCCAGCTATTCAGTTTTGCCCCTCTCTTTAACAGAGTAAATCTGTCCATTATAGCCAAAACATCCTGAAAATGAAGCACATATACAGCTATGCTTTTCAAAAATTTTTAGCTAGCAAATATTTCAGTACACAGCAAAAAATGACTGGAGAATGCCCTCTGGAAGCCTTTGCCTACAGAGGTTTTTAGTCTTGAGAACATGAGCACACTCTCAGTATCTCAGTTGGCTGCTGCCACTAACACTGGTGACAAAATGTTCATATTCATCTGGAGGTAGCATATTATCCTTCGTAGCACAGCTTCATGTATTTGAATCAATAGCTCCCATTTTTTTGTCTTCTGTCTTCAGATTTTACAACAGAAATTTTCAAGTAGAAAAAAGGGATTTTTTTTTTTTTTCCCCTCACCAAGTTGGGTCACTGAATGTTAGAATCTGCTCAGTTTTATTACACTAGTGTCAGTGTAAGTTTAAAAATCCTGGAGACTTAAGCAAAAGTGGCAAGTAATGAAGTCTAGATGCAAAAGATAGACTCGGAATGACAGATGAATGTTATAGATGCCACCTCTGAGGGATCCAGTAGCAATAATATAAAGGTATAATACTGAACTGAGGCTAATGGTATGGGAGTTACAACCAGCTGCACCATAACAGTGTTATACTTCACTGAACTATGTCATCAATCTGAATATTATCTGAAATGTTTAATTGCTTTACCCCTGCCAGCAGAGCTAGGATACTGCTCCTCTTCATCTGTGTAGGCGGAGTTCCAGTGATCGCGTGTGGAGACTTCCAGAAGTGTTTCGCGTTGCGAGTCCACAGCTGTTAGGACAATGGAGGGTTCAATGCTGACCACGCTCTGCATCTACCACTATTACTCTACTCTCAGTGTGTGCCGTAAAGGTGAGAGAAGATGGACATTCATGCATAGCTTAACTGTAGTCTCTCTACTCTTCTAATCAAATCCCTTTACATCAAACCACGCATTCCTTTCTTTGCATTGGACATATGCAAAGTTTCCCAAGGAGAGAATGGGGAAAACAAGCAATAAAAGAATAATGTATAGCAGAAACAGTGCAAAAGATTTACAGCAGTTAGACACTTAAACTCAAATTTGAAGAATAATCCTGGACCTAAAGAATATGCTAGCTGTCAATACATGCAGAATGTATTTGCCAAGTACTCAAGAAGTACTCAGATTCTTGTTAGAATATCCACCACTGAGCTCAAAAGCACCTTAAAAGCCACCAGGAAGACAATATTATTCAAGAAAAACATAATACACTTGAAAAGATAAAATAAAACACCCACAAGAGTCTGTGATCAGGAACTGTATACATTTTCACCCATGAGGCATGCAGACACCACTAGGCCATAGAAGGTAATTGGAATGCAATACCCCATGTGGAGTAAGTCACCAATGCAGAGTTGCAAAGATAAATAAATTAACACCAGAAACAACAAAAAACTAGTAAAAAGAATAAAAAAATCCCAAAGCAAGATGTCTTCCTCATTTTACATTTTCTTCTACAAATAAAGACCACAGCTGAAAGAAAAAATACTCCACTATATTCAGAAAAAAAAAAAAAAGGCGCTTATAAACAGTCATTTAGAAACACTACTGAGTAAATAAGTGCACAAAAAAAGACACATTAAGATGTGGTCATATTAAATTGAATTACAAAAAAGCAACAGATGATTATATTTGTACAAATAAGAGCATTAGAGTATTGTGACTAATGGCAAAATATATACTTAAAAAAAAAACCAAACCAAGAACGGTGGCCTTTCCTTGGTCATAAGGGCAAGTAGCAGGCTGTGTGCTTCAGTGACACACAGCATCTGGCTGTGAACTTCATATGTGGTACTTTTCTGGTTTTGAGACAAAATAATTCTAGGTATGGATGGCTTTTTTAGTTAAAAAAGAGCTATCGCATGATCACTGTGGGACTATTCATATCAGAAAAATAAGGCTATGTATTAAAATATCTAATTTGTGGTGTTGGATCATGCCTAAACACCGAGGCCATAAAAAAAATTAGGTGATGTTGGAAGAGTCCATGGGAAAAGTGTGGAAGATAGCAAATAGGAGACTGTTTTGCTGACACTTCCCAATGAGAAGGGCACTTGGGGTTTGACCTTCCCAAATTCTGTCTGTAGATCGTCTTCCACAAAGAATTCTACAGTTGTGTAGATGTAGACTATAAATAACATGAACTGGGATTATTTTAACACTGTTTTCCAAAACACCGAAAACAACAGACAAAAGGTAAACATTTTGATTCTCAGAAAATAATGCATGAATGAATGCACTCAAATAGGAATGAAAATTTGAATACAGTTAATTTTCAGTAGTGATAAAAGAGATACTAAATCTATCAAATTGAATCTCATATGATCTTTCTAATAGAAAAAGAGACATTTCGGAACGAACAGTTGATGAGAAGAAAAGGAAGAAATAAACTATCCAAAGAGAAATTCCTTACTAGTACTAGGAGCATAC